ACAGTTCTCACGTGACGATCATCCAGTGAACATTACTAGATTCCAACCTGGCGCAACAATGATGGTTCTGAGCCTACTGATGAAACTACTACTCAGTGTGGGGATCCGAAGAGCCCTACTCTAGTGACATTGGAGGCACTACAGTCACCTCCGCCACACCTGTGCCCAAGAGTGCTGCTTGTCTCATTCAATATGAGACTGGGAAGGTGAAACTACTTGATCAAAATCAAGAGACTCGCCAAGTAGTCCGGGATGCAATTATGGATGCCAAGGGCCACCTCATTTTCGTCAATGCATATCCCGAACTCATCGATAAAAATCAAGTCGCGCTCCAGTCCTTGCTTACAGTGGCCAAGAAAAGTGGTGCGCATGCCATCAAACAACGTCTTCAAGAAGACACACAGTATGCGACTCAGCTTGGTAACCTGGTATGTCTTGTAATGCTCATTGCAGTTTTCCTTTTTTCTAACTATGTTCAATTACTCAAGGTGGAGCCTCGCATCCCGTTATTACGCCGTGACCTGAAAGAGGTTGCATGCGCCAACATCGATGGCTACTTCCGTCTCGGCCAGAGCGCAGTGAAGGCGAAAAAACTTATGGAGCAACACGCGTATTCATATTCTTTGAAGTTTGATGTAAGTTGTACTATTCTTTGCCACTTGCTAAGTTCTTCACACTCAGAAGCGGGTTCTTTATCGTATTCCTACATATCTAACTAACTTTTATTTCTTCAACAGTCCAATGACAATCCCTCGCCTAGGGGAAACAAACCCTACCAGGGTGAACTTGTTATCTTTCTACTGCATACTGGAATCTTCAATGGCCCGAAGTCCATCGGCGTCAAATTCGCAGAGCGCTTCATCGAAATTGCCGGCAACAAAGCCAAACACCCCGAAATGCCTGTGCCATTGCTGGCACTGGTTGCGACGGCAGTAATGTCCTTCTATTTATCTCTTTGCGCAGTGCTAACTCGTCTTCAAGATCTATGCAGCCCTGTTTTGGAAGACGCTTGGTTCCCCAGGGAAGTTCAACTTCACGGGGAATCAATTCAGCGAAACTTATATGTTTCATGTGAAGTTCCTCGAGGATCTGAAGAAGGACGTGCCTAAGAAGTTTCACTGCATGATGGCGGGCATCTATGAGTCTGTTCAGTAAGTTTCGCTAGTATGCATGGTGCTACTTTGACTTGGGTATTGACACTACTGGCAGGGCCTTGAAACGAAAGGGTGGCGATAATCAGGCTGATGAGCATCGAAAGGCGTTGGTGCTACTGGACCTTGATGGCATGGGTGAGGATTAGCTTCTAGTATGGTGCTGATCTGTGAATAGTGCAGATTTGTTTGATCACTCCTTTCATATACCCTGGTCTCCGTCAGCTTGCTCCCAGATTTGTTGGTCACTCCTTTCATATACCCTGGTCTCTGTCAGTTTGCTCCCAGATTTGTTGATCACTCGTTTTCATATACCCTGGTCTCCGTCAGCTTGCTCCCAGATTTGTTGGTCACTCCTTTCATATACCCTGGTCTCCATCAGTTTGCTCCCAGATTTGTTGATCACTTGTTTTCATATACCCTGGTCTCCGTCAGCTTGTCCCCGTGTTTCTAGTTACTTTGTATATGTCTTTTAATCAAATGCTATTCTTTTTATTGTAACACCGTCTGAAATGCTTGATTTCCGCTTCGTGATTCAACATATTCTTTCTGAATTTCACTCTAATTGCTTGTGATATCAACTAATTATTGACAATTATACATTACTCTCGAGGGGGTAAAAAAGTACTTCTATGCGCCATAACCTTCCTAAGGCTGATAATGTCTGATAATAGTCAGAAATTATCGACATTTATTGTTATTTAACATAATTTGTCGAGGGAGGGTTTTCCTGATGGGTAAAGCCAGCTAAAGGTGATAGGGATATTTTGGGGCTCATTCTTCTGCTTCATTGTCTGCAGGGGGTGTGACATCTCCAAAGGTGTGTTCTAATCTGTGTGTACTTGCTATGAAGCGGAGTAAGGGTTTGATGCACTTTTGGTTGTTTAGCAAGTTCTTGAGGTGGCTGGCTTGGGGTCCTATCTCATTTTGGAGTGCAAGTCGTTGTCTAATGTATTTCGGACAGGCAAGTAGGAAATGGTGGACCATTTCTTCACGTCGATGACATTGCTGGCATGTGGGACTGGGGACCTTCTTTATCCAGTGCATGTGTTTGTTCAAAGGTGCATGGCCTGTGTGTAGTTGGAAGAGCAAAGAGGAATGGCATCATGGGAGTTTTTCGACTAGCATGGAGAAGTGTTTTGATGGGGCGTTCTCGTTGATTTTGTGGAGGCATTCATAGCATGGTGAGTCCTTCATGATGGTTGCCACTTCAGCTCTGATCTCTTCTCAGAATTGCTGCTTCATTGCTGACTTGCTGATTGGTAGGGTGAGTTTGACACTGTTTCTGGTGGTGAGGAGGGTTTTTGGAAGCTCCCTGGGTGTACTACTCTCTCCTCTGGCTGCTCTCTTGGCCTGCTCATCAGCTGCTTCATTTCCAGGTATTCCCTTGTGGCTGGGCATCCACCAAACCATCAGCTTGCGATCATCATGTGCTGGGATAAGTCTGTGTAGGTTGTCATGGAACTTATCCATGAGGTAGTGCCCTGGTTTGGAGATGAATGCATTGGTGGCAAAGATGGCTGCCTGGTTGTCAATGCCCAGGGACATGGTGCCTTTCCCTCCTGCTTCTCTCAATATCTCCACTGCCAATATCATTCCTACCAACTCTCCCTCATAGACCATATGTTCTTGGTCACTTCCTAGGTGGAATCTTCTTTCCTTCGTCATCTCACCATTCCTCATCAATACTGCTGCTCCTCCAACTCCTCTGTCTATGGCAGAGCTGTCTGAATATACTCATAAGTCTTCATCTGCCTCTGTGTCTTGTCTTGCTGCTGTTGTTGTATCTTCAGCCGTTTCTGTGATGACATTGGGGGACCATTTAGGATAATGGCATGTCGGATCTATGGATTTGATGGTGTGTGGGTTGAGATGGAACTCATTGAGGAGGTGGTGTAGTGGCAATGGGTGTCTTTTGCTGTTGTTGAAATTTCTTCTGGTACATGAGTTATACGCTGTGTGGATTCCCTTGTGGAGGGGGTGGGTCTTGTCTAGTGTTACCATGCGTAGGGTAGCTCTATGGTATACTTTGCGCAATAACTGTTGGAAGGGAAGAATATTAGCGTGTGCGTCAAGGACATCAGTAGTGGTAGTTCTCATCCTGCCCGTGATCATTGTTGTTGCCATTCTCTGAACTCTTTCCATTTTTGAGGTGAATCCCCATGCTCCTCAACCTGCATTTTTCTTTCCTCTTCCTTTTGCAATCAGTCCTGAGCACCAGACATTGGCAGCATAGAGCATTTTAGGGATCACTACACCTTCGTATAGTTTCTTCAATAATCTGCTGTGGACCCCCTTTGCTGCTCGTGTCATCCTCTGGCATGCCATTGTGTAGCATGTTCCCTTTGCTAGTGTGTATGTGGTGTGTTCCTTGAAATTGAGTTCATTGTTGATGATTATGCCTAGGAACTTGTGTGATCTGGATGGTTCAATGACATGGTTGCATATGGTGATAGATTGGTGTGGGGTTGGGAGGGTCTTGTTCCTGTGGTTGGGGTCAGCAATTCGTCTTCGCGATATGCAAAGTAAAGCTGTTTTATCTAGTTCAAAATCAGCATTGTGTTCTCTGCTCCAGTCTAAAGCACCCCCTTGTTTTTCCATCATGTTCTTAAGCTTTCTGTTTGCTTCTTCATAACTTGTGCCTTGTGCTGCTAGTGTGATGTCATCTATGAATCCCAGACTTAGTTCTCCTTGTTGCAGGTCAGTGTTAGCTACACATAGTACAGGAGAGCTGTAAAATAAGAATCCTATTACCGATAAAGGGCATCCTTGGTCGACCCCATTTGATACATTGAAGAGGTCGGATCTGTAGTCATCAAAGTGCAGTGTCATTGATCTGTTGCTGAGTTGTTTGCTATACCAATTGATGTATTCTGTTGGGATTCTGGCATGTCTCATATTGTGTAGCATGCGATTGACCACTATGCTAGGAAATGCAGCTTTGATGTCTAGGAATAATATCAAGACATAAGGCTCGGCTGAGGCCCATGCATCTGTTGCAAATTTTGTTGGTAGGTGTAGAGAATCTACTGTTGATTTTCCTGGGCATCCACCAAAGTGTGTTGGTGGGATGAGGTTATGGTACTCTGCTATGTACACTAGATTGTTAGCTACGCAGGAGGAGAGAATTTTACCCATGGTGTCAAGCAAGGTGATTGGTCAGTATGCTTTTGGCAAGCTGTAATCTGGTCTTCCTGGTTTTCGTAGTACTACTGTGGATGATAGTTTCCAGTCTTCAGGGTAGTGTTCAAGTGTGAATGTTGCTTGAAAGATGGGTCCCATGTACGGCACTAGGAGGTCAGTACAGTTCTTGTATACACAGTTACATATTCCATTTGGTCCTGGAGCTTTGTACAGGGAGAGTTTGTCTATGGCACAGGAGATTTGGTTGTTAGTAATTGGTGTGAACTCGCAGATAGGAGGATTGTAGACAAAATTGGGCTCAACATGTTCATTTTTGGGTGGCTGTTGAAAGAATACATCATAGAGAAGTTTGCTTTTTCTTGCATTGTTCTGAGTGGTGTTCATTCCATTGGGGTCCTGTGGGTCTTTCAGTGTCTTAATCCTTGTGTGGACCTGTTCTGAAGGGTCACTGTTTCTTGCATTGTTCTGAGTGGTGTTCATTCCATTGGGGTCCTGTGGGTCTTTCAGCATCTTAATCTTTGTGTGGACCTGTTCTGAAGGGTCACTGGCTGCGTAACAGTGGAAGTCCCAGATGTTGGAGGGCGTAATGGCCTTGAGCCATTCTTCCCAGTGCTCTTTCTTTGCTTTCTTGATGTTTTCCAAGAAGTGGTTGTGGGCGAGATGGAACTCTTCATGGATCAGGTCTTGTCATCAAGCTAGAAGGTTTCTAGCTTTCTTGCCAAGTTTGTGTACTTGCTTTCATTCAGTGTTGAGATCATTTGACCACCATCATTTTGTGTAGGGTGATTGTTTGGATTTCAGTACATGTTCTTCTATGGTTTTGGCAATGGATTGGGTAAGGTGTGTGAAGGCGATTTTGAACTCATCTGTAGATTGGATGTTAGTGGGAGGAGGGTGTGTGTTAAGGTGGGAGGAAAGGGCTTCTCTGAATTTGTCCCATTCAATGTCTCTGAAATTCAGTCATTGAGCGGTTATGATGTTACAAACTAGGATGGTCATAACAACAGCAGCTCGATAAGAGCAACAGCTGAAGTTATAGTCAGGACCTTGCAAATGCAAGGGTCTTTAAGACAAGACAAAGAGAGTGTCTTTGACTTGAATATCGGTTCAGACAACTTAGGATTGGAAGTCCTAAGCAAGAGAATATTCCAGGTAAAACCTAGTAAGATTAAAGTAAAGAACTACTAAGTACATTGTTGACTATATATATGTTTTGTACGTGACTTTAGGGCAAGCGTAAGTCAACAATGAGTCAGAGATAAGAAATGAGTCATCTAGCAATGGCAGTGGCAATCGTGATGTAATACAAGAATAGTAAGGTGAAAAATGAATAGGGGCGTACATGACTGTAACAGATGATGCATTCAGGTTGTAAGTCTAGGATGCTGATAATGGGAAAGTGGTCAGTGATAATGGGGCATAACTGATACTCTATGGAACATTTGGTGAACATTTGCTTGATTTTGGCTGAGCAGAAGATGTTGTCTGGCTGGGTGTGATTCTTGGTGTTTGAGGCTTCAAGGGTTGCTATGCCAGGGGGGAGAACTTGGGTGAGGTCATATTCTGCAAGAAGATTAATTAGTATACCCACGGCATCTAAGTTCGCTGCAGTGAATAGGTGAGAGTTGCTGGTCAGTTCCCACATGGGATGGTGGCAATTGAAATCACCCATCCATATCATGTGGGTGTTATCCACTCTATTTTTGCCTCTAGCATTAGTGTGGGGGAGGTTGTGGGAGGCAGCCTCTTCTAAGATTATGTGTCTTTCCAGGAATTGGAGCATTCTCGAGTGATCACAGGCATTGTAGATATTGTAGATATGTACTTTTCTGAAGTCTCCATGGATCTCGATGGCCATGATATTGGGTGTGTCAAGTGGGATGATGTGCCAGTTGTTCTTGGATAACTTCTTGTTGACAAGCAGGATGGTTTGCAACCGTTCAAGATTTGAGTGGTGGTTGGTGGGGTATATTACGTCCCAGAACTGTCTAAGGTTGGAAGCATTCACAAGGCCTATGGCATTGAGGAATGGTTCTTGGATGCATGTGAGGTCATACTTTTTGGGGTTGAGGTTTCAGAGCATGTGCTCCCAGGTGCTAGAAGATTTTCACAAGTTTTGTTGCCAGATTTTAAAGTCAGAGCAGAGGGGTTGTTCATTACTGTTGTTCTGCATTATGCAAAGTTGGGTAGTGAGGGGCTGCCAATGTTGATGTCTGGAGTTGTGGGGGGGGAAACCACAAGGGTGTGGTGCTGGCGGAGGAGATCTGAGGTGGTGAGTTTGGGTGCACATGTGGATCTGTGTTGTTTTCATTGGCTGGCTGCAAGTTGAGCCAATTGTCCATGAGGTAAGCTTGAGAGTTGAGTCCGATTTGGATCTTATTTGGGTTTGTGCATGGCTGGCGATGTTTTTGCTGTTCTTGTTGCATGTTAAGTTGTTGAGGTTGGGGTTGAGGATGCGGGTGAGGTTGAGGGTGAGGTGTTTTCATGAGGAGACATCCATAGTTGCCATGGGTGTTGGTGTCTGTTACTGGTTGGGTCCACACTGGTTGTCTTGGTGGTTTGATCCATTGCCCAGTGTTATTTTCTGCCGATTCCCATGTGAGAGGGTCTTTGGTGGGGAAGTACATGTAACGGTACTTTGAGTCTTCAGATCAGTTTTTGAGGCTTTCCCACTTGTTGATGAAGGATGGGCAATCTCTACTCCATGAGGTGTGGCCCTGGCAGTCACAATTAGCACATTGGAAATAGTTAGGGTTGTCTACTTTGCATGCTGCTGTGCAGCAATGCACACTGCAAGTTCCGCACATATCATGGTCTTGAGTGCATTCTGCTGTGAAGTGTGATCCATCATAGGATTGACACTTGAGGCATCATGTCAGTTCTGGGAGGAGTCCAAATACTTTCTTTCCTTCTATTGATACTCCAAAACAGAGAATTTGGTTGGTGCTCTCTTCAGTCTTGAGGGTAATGATCATGTGCGCCATCCTTTGATTTGCCTTGCATCTGGCTATCAGTTTGATCCATTTTGCCTTGGTGATGGTGCCTGGCTTGAGTCCACCATTTGTTTCGATGTCTGAGTTGGTGCATATTGAGCTGGGGTCGTAGGATGTAGGGACATTTTCAATTAGGATGTGGTATGATTGGTCCTTGATGGTGGCATTTGATCCGAAGTTAACAGCAAATTTTGCTTGGTGGGATGGGATGCTGAGCCATTTTGCTGATTCTGCTGAGTTGAGTTCATATAGGATTCCGCCATGAGGGAGTCTTCATGCTGATTGGAACGTTAAGCTGTGGTGGATGGTGAGGCCATCTTTTTCTATAAGTTCTAAGGTTAGTTTTGCTTTTGCGATGAGTTCTGCTTCAGTCAATCCTCATAGGGTGTCTATTTCACCATATGAGTGTCTATCCAGGAGTATTTGTCTTGCTTGTGCTTCTCCACAAGCTAGGAGTTTGGTCAGTGGGGGAGGAGCATTAGTTTTGACTGCATTCACATATGTGTGCATCCCTTCAGGTTGCGTAGCTTTTGGCATGTCTTGTGACGCCTTGGTTACATTTAGGACTGCTTTTTCAATGTTTTCTGACGAGTTAGACAAAGTGCCACGCAGCTCTTTCACTGCATTTTCTAGGGCTTCTTTGTGAGTCGCTGTAGCTTCTTCAATTCTTGTAGCTTTCTCCTCTAGTTGCACGATTGGTCCTTGTATCAAGGCTGAGAATTTTTCTATCAGGTTTGCTGTGTCTAAGTTCTTTTCTGCTTCAATGAGTAGTATAGCCATTGATCAGAGTATGTCAATGTGTGTAGCTCCCACTTCCACTGTAATGCTGTATTCCAGCAGGGCATGTGCTATCTGCCTGATAGCATTACAGGCAATGGGGAGGTCTAGTCCATGAGATAGCAGTAGTTTTTTGACAGTGATGCTGTTGTTGATATCAGATCTGGTATCTAGGTCAGTCAAGTGATTTTCTATTTCTTTACTTTTTGATAGCAGGGGTTTGCTCGCAGTAGTCTTCCATCCTCTAGTGGTCAGTGTTACAGTTGCAGTTACAGACTGGTTAGTAGCTTGGAGAGTTTTGGGTGGCATTGGAGCTATGGTTTTGTCTTTATTTTCGTTGTTTTTTTGGTTTTTGTAGTACGTTCGTTATATATGTAGAGACTAGTAATAGAGAAAGGTAGCAGAGAGGAGACGGGGTAGGCGTTGTTGACGCCTTTGACGCCGTTGGGCGCAAAGTTGGTTGATTTTTCCGGGGTCCTTGAGGGGGTGCCACTTGGTAATGGACCAAGAAGCGTTTTTGGAAGTGGGCTAGGAGAAGTCGAAGCAGTACTAGTGCTGGAGCTTGATTTGCCGTGCACGACGCTGGAGCGCCGAGCGTCGAGGAGAGAATCCCTCGCAGGGTCTGCCAAGAGGTTTCTGAGGAACGAACCCACACAAGTCTGTTGATCCTTCACTCACGTCTGCTCAGCGAATGAGAATTGACATCCGATCAATATTAATGCAGGGACATCAAGAATCTGACATGAGAAATCTAAGTTGCGTCATTGAAATGATGCCTCGAGTCTGTGAAATTTCAGAGTCAGTTCAGGTAACCAGGCTGGGCTGGTCAAAGCTGTGGAACTGCAGTGTGTAGATTTGACATACCGGCCAGTCGCAATGATTGAGATAAGTTCGAAGAGTTGTCCGTTGGCCAGGGGGGTAGAGCGTGTGAGGACTAGAAACGTTGAAGATCATTTAAGAACGGAAGATTTAATATGGCAAAGTGAAAAAATGGTTGAGTTTTGGCCACGGTCTAGCGCCCTAGCCTGGGTCACGTACCTTGTGCCACCACTCAAAGGTCTTAACGTACTACTACCAACTACTATTACTCTTCTTCTTGTCGTCGTCGTCTTCATCGTCGTCGTCGTCAACGTTGAGCTCGTCGATGTATTAGGATGTCGAGCAGGAATAATTCTCGATTCTCTACCCTCAAAGTATTCAAGTTTAACAAGGAGAGACCGCCACCACCGCCTCCTCCCAAGGATAATCAATACTTTCAACAAGGGTTACAGGTACAAGGAGGTCCTTATGGTTCAAGTAAATCGCTTTACAACCCAAGCGTAACCTCTTTCTCTCCTCCTGCCGACCTACCACCATCACTACCAACAACGCCTGACTATAACCGGGCTTCACCTGAGTCCACTCCTTCAGTTCGTTCTTTTGGCCCTGCAATGTCTATAGAGAGCGAAAAATCAAAACGAAACATATTCAAGTTTTCGTCGATAGGAAAGCGTAATAAGTCAACCAGAAATCTTATAGAAGCAGAAGATCCAGAGCCTCCTCAAGAGGATGAAGGGATATCTAATCCATGGAATTTCCAGGCGAGTCTGCTTGTAATTCATTGTCATTCTTTGCTAAATGAACGATCAGCATCATATACATGTTGACGAGGGGTGAGTGTCCTCTGGTTGTGCTCTACGACCCTAACATCTCTTCCAGATTCGTGGGACTTCCTCCTTCATGGTCTAATGCCCTTTCTCAAGCTGGTTTCACCGACGACGAAATCGCAGCAATTCACGCCCGCCGCATAGCTGTTCGTGGAAACCCAAATGCAACCCGTCCCGATTCGCCACTCTCCATTCTACAGCACCCAGCACCTCGAAGTTCATCCCTTACAGCCCACTCATCAAACGCAACACTCATTGCAAATGCCTACATCAACGCCCCATCCCCATCCTCCTTCAACTTCCCCCCATCTCGCCAATCATCATACGCTGCCACATCCTCTACCCACTCGCGCTCTGCTGCCGAAGGAGACGCAGGTAGACACCCAGTACGTATTCGTCAATGGCACAGGACACGAGAGCATGATTGACCCATACCCCCTCGACACCCAATCCGTGTCCACCCACCACAGCAGCTCCAATCACACAAATGCACCTCAAATTGCTCGTGTTCAATCTGAGACTCCTCACCGGTCTAACTCAGGGCACGTCCCGAGCCCCCTGGTGCATTCTCGCAGCTTGCCTCTGAGTCATCATCCCCTCGATGTACATAGCATACACAGTGCCTCCCCACGCACGCCTCCGAGGAGAGTGTTCCATGTTGCCAATGCGGACGAGTCGCCGCCTCCTGCTTACCACTCTTCAGTCCATACGTCTGTTTTTCGGGACAAAGCTGCATTCCCATCGGAAGGGAGTGGAAGTGAGATGGAAAAGGAGTCTGGACAGCTAAGGGAGACAGAACGGGAAATGGACTCAATCCTGGATATCTCAGCAACAATAAACACTACCTCTTCATCGCTCTACACAGATCTTTCACTTCCAGACGTCGATCCTGCGCTGCTGAATAGGCACATGAGCCCGACGCCCCCGCTGGTCATTGATAAGAGGCTGACGAAATTGGGTGCATTGCCTCCCAGGCTTAGCTTTCACTTGAGCTCGGATTTGGGGTTGGAGGATTGGGGGGCCGGGTTACTTAATGGGTTGGAAGACGGGAGTGGAAGTGGGGGAGGGAGCGGGAGTAGACTTGAAGACCGACTAGGACTCTCAAAACCTGGGAAATTTGTCGAGTCGAAGCGGAACAGCCTCTTGGTAGATAGAGGGGAAGGCAGCAGTAGCTCGCTCCTTCCTGGATTCTCACTCCCTTCCTCCTCATCCTCCTCTTCTTCTTCCTCACGACCGTCACCATCGCTATCACTGTCACCATCAACATCAACATCACGCTCACCATCAACTTCATCTCGTCCATCAACACCCTCATCTTTGAAATCTCACTCTTCTAGTACTTCTGCAGCTGCATCGACGCCGTCTACCTCACCTTCTCCTTCTGCCCCTTCACATTCTCCTTCCGAATCGACACAGAGCGTGCTTTCGCCATTAACTTCAAGTTTGCTCTCGCCGCCAAGTTCAAGCATGCTCACTCCTACACAACCAACTTCAAGTATACTCTCTCCAACCCCGACACAGACTCTCCCGACTCTCCCGGATGTGTCGTTTGGAGCGGATATAACGCTTGGAGCTCCGCTACGTGTTATGGTGCCACAGTCACCTGCACCTGGGAAGAGCGTACCGTCTATGCTAACGACTAGGAATACACCGTCGCCTACAACGACTAGAACGCCGCCTACACCAACGCGGAATGCACCGCGAAGAGAACTTCCGCCTGTGCCTTCTGAAGAGGTTGAGGTAGAACACAGTGTTGGTCCTGTGTTGCTGGATATTTCATTGGGACCTAACGTCTCTTCGCTTGGTACTGGCTTGGACCTCTCTTCACTTGGAGTTGGGTCGGATGTTTCTGGTGGACCGAAGACTCCAAGCTCGAGTACCCCTAGTACAAAACACACAGACCACATGAAACCCTCGTCGCTTCCGGCTTGTAGACCGGGAATCGAGGTTGCTGTGTCGTCGCCATCGCCTGCCAGCGCCATGTTGTCATCGAAGATTTCGGGTGGGTGTTCTTCGCGAGGAGAGGGTGTTGGTGCTTCGATGGCAGGTGATCCTGGTTCTCCTACAACGGGCGCTTCAACAACAAGCAACCGCAGTCCACCTTCAACCACAAGTGGCCGTAGTTCCCCTACGACCCTCCTCCCCTTACGACCCGCAGGCGACCGCGACTCCGGCATATCGACGATGACAGTTACACCCGTTACGATCGTGAGCGTGAGTGGAGCCGTGGCTATCACGTTGGCAACAGCTAGTGTCGTTGGCTCTGATTCAATGTCACTGAGTGTTGTTGAGCCTACAGATGATGCAGGGAGCGAGACAGAAGACGGCGCGTCCGCTGTGTTGGACTCAGATGACACATCCATGGTTCTAGGTTCAGATAGCGCATCCATTGCGTTAGACTCGGATCCTGCATGGCCAGAACCCCCTCTCACCCCCGACCTCGACACAACCCCACGTCAATCCACACGTTTCCGCACAACTTCCCTTCGCGTGCAGGGTTCCCCTCACAGTTCGCATTTTAGCAGCGATACGGGCTCCACCACCGAAAGCGCACCCCTTGTCACGCCCAAGTTGCACGTACCGCCTTCGCCGCTCCGGGATAAGAGTTTCGCGCCTGAAGCTGCGCTTCTCACATCAACAACTGATACGTTTGGAGTTGGAGGGCGGGACAGTGATAGCGACGAAGAGTTCATGCTTTCTCTCCCAAAAGCACATTCCCAATCCCAATCGCAGCGCATACCAGGATGGATTGCAGACGCCGTCTCCCCTCTCTCGGAATTCATGATTAACGTCGATCCCCAAGAATACTTTGCAGACCTCCAAGAAATTGCAGAAGGCGAGAGCGGCTCCGTATACGCCGCACGCCTCGTCTGTCCCCCTAACACGCTCTCTCTACCCCCCGGAACGACGCACGTAGCCATAAAAGCCATCACAATCCACCCAGCTGTATCTCCGAAGCTTCAAGACCTGAGCCACGAGATGGAGTTGATGCGCGGGGTGCATCACGAGCATGTATTGCGCATGGACGCGTTTTATGTGAATTTGGTGGATGATTCGGTGTGGATACGGATGGAGCTGATGGAGAGGAGCTTGGCGGATGTTGTGGGGCTTGTTGGGGAGGGGTTGTCGTTGCAGGAGAGGATGATTGCGCGGTTTGCTAGTGATGTGAGTCTTTTGTTTCGTTGTGCGTAGATGGATGCTGACCGATGAATGAATGAACAGGTCCTACTTGCGCTCGAATACCTCCAAAAACACCATATAGCCCACCGAGACGTCCGTTCTGACAACCTGCTTTTAAACGCGAGCGGAATCGTAAAAGTTGGTAAGTGGCTCCTTTATATGCTCGGTTGTTTACTCCGATCATCACTTGTTTTTGTTGCCATCTTTTTTTTTAATTGGAGATGATATGTTGTGCTGATTCCATTATGATTGTTTGATACATAGCTGACTTCTCGAATGCTGTGCGTGTGACGAGGAATTCTCCGATGTGTTTTGGGGCTGTGGGCGTCATTTACTGGCAGGTGCGTTTTATGATGTTCTTCGTCCTCTGTGTGTGTTTATGGTGTTCGCGTTTATGTTTTGTAGGCTCCAGAGATGCGAGTGTGAGTGTATTCATTCCTTTCTCTCTCATCAGGAATCTTATTTCATATTGTTATCACAGTGGAGCATACAATGCGCTCAAAGTCGACGTCTGGTCTCTAGGCGCAACGGTTTGGGAACTAGCACAAACAGAACCGCCCTTTGCAGATGTTCAAGACCCGCGACAAATCGGTATTCAGTGGCCGCCTCTACGTCAACCGGAGCTTTACTCGCGCGGGTTTCATGAGTTTTTGAAGTTATGCTCGAGGCCGTATGGGTCGAGGCCGAATCCTAATGAGTTGGTGAACGTGTGTTTATTCTCTTCTGTGATTTTGATTCGACTCTCATGGTACCGTAATTTTGGATTTGATTTGTAGACGCCTTTCATCCGCAACGCATGCGGCCGAGCGGTGAACGTCCAACTTTTATCACAGTGTAGAGCTATTGAAGAGCATATGTTGCAAAGGGAGAGTGAGAGTGGTGGGGAGTCGTGACGAGTAGACGGATGGATGGACGGATGGACGATTTGTTTTTGTTTTTGCCGGCGCAGTGTCATTCCTTTCATAACTATCTATCATATCGTTATCTATACCCAAGGTCATTACTTATTTCATCAGATCTGATGGGGTTTTTACATATCATGATGCCATGGCTTTGTTTGTGATTCGAGTGATGTTACTACATGGGTGATTTGGTAGTTGATTGGACGAGTGGAAGACTGGTGATGAGTCTAGGCCGAGGCCAATTGGCAACTGGGTTTGATTGCAATGAGTCACTCATCGTAATCAAATCCAATTAACAATTGGCCCCTTGCTCTCAGTGGATTCTTTGGCCCGGGTCCGAGCAGTGATGCACTTAGTTCAAGACAATAGATCTATGCCACGACCAGTGATTGATCCTCAAATGATAGTTGCTGTGCATTCCAAGAGGTGCTGATGCACTCGTCTGCTAGGTCTTGATCTGAAATCACAAGTGATATGATTTGTAACAACCGATGAACCAGAAGCCATAGCGACCAAGACAACGGAGAGGCGGACGAGGAAACAAGGGAGTAAGACAAAGGAAACTTGAACGTTCGAACTATGTAGCTTGTCGGATTCTGAGTCATGCTGGCCGTGTGAAGCCGTTGTGATTTTGCTCACACGGGTACAGGAACTTGTTTTTGGACTAGCTCTACCGTGACATACTAGTTGAGCTAGATCCTAGTACCGTCCTCCGTGTTTCTGTCTTCCGCCGCCGCCACTGGTCCTGTCTTCAGAGTCCAGACAGTTTGACATGCTTCCTCGTTTGTCACATCCTGTGGCCTGACAGCAACCCCACCCGTTCTCTGGATTTCTCTAGTATGCCCCTGCCACTTAATCAAATGACAGCATCCCCGAGCCAGGAACGAGGGCCTAGGCATGGCTGCAGCTGCAGGGTTTCGAACGCGATTCTGAGTGGCGCATCAAACCAAGTTTTTCTATATGCTAGTGCATTTGACTCCCTCATCTTTTACCTCGTCGTAGTAGCTGTCATCAGTCCCACTCCGAGTCCCTATCAGTCATCCCTACCTACTTCCTTTATACTTGCGGTTCTGGTTTCAGGCCTCTGCACTGTCCGTCTTGTCACGTCTTGCATTCTCGTTAGGTTCCAGAACGGATGACAGACACGGCGACACCAGTCTTGAGTGTGTCTGCTGTCAGCCACGTCTTCCCGTGCCTTGGATGTCATCTCGATCCCTTAGCTTCTACTAGTTGAAGCCAGCCCTGTCTGCCTACTTGTCACCTATTAAGTTTCATCAACAGCGCCCATCTATGTCTGGGAGATTTGTCTGATGGGGCCCCTTGTACCCAAATTCATCGTCGTGTTCGCTCTAGAAAAAGGTTCCCGCGAAGGAGTTAAATGCCCTCCGATAGGCGCCCAGGAGCCCTGAAAAAGCCGTGATCAACACCGTAATTTGATTTCCAAGAGCTGTGATCCTTCCGTGCAAAGAGAACGATGAAATTTTAACTCCCTGTTGTTTGACATCACGTACTGGCACCATAATATCTTGGCGTTCCAACTGACAACAAAAACATCTCTGGTTCTGGAAGTTGCGCCATGCAGCAACTACACATCTCAGTGATGGCATTCACCGACTCTGTACTCTGAGTCTCATGTAAACAACGTCAACAGTCTTACGGTAGTTTCTTCTAGGCACGACCTGTCAAAGCTCTCTACCCCGAGTCAATCGGCAATTTAACTTCTCTCCTCGATTCTTATCAAAAAAACAAATTCCCTCCAATCAAAAGGTTGGTACAATTTGACCGTAATTGACCTACTTACGAGATCCGTGATGCGTCTACAGCATTCTAAGTGCATGCTGTGTATGTTGTTGACCCTGGAGAATCATCTTTGGGCACTTCCTGGAAGCTTTAAACGACCTTACAGAAACCTGATCAATGTCCCTTCTCGCTTCTGCCCACGGTAAGCTCTGTCTTCGCTTGATCGTTTAATATTTCTTGACTGACACTGTTATTATCCAGCGATTAAACTGAAGATGAATTTTGTATCGACGACCACTGATCAGAAACAACCCCAGTGCTATAGCAGTCAGCTCAAGCCCTTTTACCACGGAACAGCATCGCGATACACTAGCCCCTCTAGCGGAAAATGCAAGCGCCTGATTGTGCAGTCCGTGAATCCCAACTTGAATAGTGATTGGAACGAGGACAATGTTCGATCGAACGCGCCACTATCCACTCAGCTTGCTGGTCGGTTGACCAGGATGATGTTCAACCCGTCCAACGAAACATTTTTGTGGTTGTTCATCTGGCTCTTTTATATCATCACACTATTGTCTCCATCCAGAGGGCCTGTGTTTGCCGCTTATTACAAGCCGTATTTGATGCGGTTTGTTGGCCAACTGTGGGCTGCACGCTCACCAAGGGAATACGCTCTACGGGCGCGAGCAGCAGATGAAGATGATGGACGTGTCCGACGTGTCACTCACGCCCTCTACCCCCGCTTCCTTGTTGTATATGATGAAGAGAGAAGAAATTGGACAAGAGTCAACGTTGAGGCAGTAGTGAGGCGAAAACCATATGTCGCTGTCACCTACTGCTACGACGACGTGATAAATTCCGGAAGTACGGGGGCGCTCATAGAGCGGGTGCGGAATGCTACCTTGGATCAAGGATTTGACGCGTACTGGCTAGATCTCGAGTGCTTATTTGAAGATCCCGTGCAAAAGGCCCAAGACCTTTATCGCATGTCGGACGTTTACCGACTCGCCTCTTTCACACTCATCATACTCACCAACGAGAGCGCCTGGCCCGCTTGGGGCGGCCGCGTTTGGACTCTGCCGGAAGCTCTCCTCAGTCGCGAGCTGCGATACAAGGCTGGAAATAACGCAGTCACCCCCATCAGTCTCATTCAAATCGCCTCTTTAGCTTACTCGCACCACGATGAAGAATCCCATATTATCAACTCTTATGGCCTTGGGAAGGATCCGCTCGAGAGGCTGGAGCGTAATCTCCAGCTCAAAGAAGCAATATGGCGCCGCCAAAGCTCTTCCTCTCAACTTACGAGTCAGGAAGGAAGTTCTCAGGGGAGATATCGCGCAGAAAAGGTTTACTGCGCTCATGGGATTTTTCGAGCATCGCATTCTCCCAAATGCCGAGGAGACAGAGCTGCAAGCGCTTGCGCGCTTGTTTATGGCGAACGACAACGACCGCATTGCTGATCGCATGATCTCGATGTTTCCCAGAGATCGAAGAGGAATAAATCAATGGTACACCAAAGAAGACGAATATGGAGCCAAGCTTTGGGACATCGAGCCCGTTGTACAGGTCATCGGCATTACATCCAATGGTTCCCTTGTGTTGGATGGCTGTCGGGCGGCAGCGATTAGGTGGAAGAATTTTCCGTCCATTGCGTTTGCTACGAGGCGCTCTTTCCGACGTCTTCTGGCACATGCATTGCCATACACGACCCTGATCCTCTTCTTGACGAGTTGCGTCATGATTTCCATCGGAAACCAGACCGCCTCTACTAGCGTATATGGAACTTCCCCGGGAACTTCACCTCTAGTCGCAGGTGGCGGCGTCCTACTTGCTTTCTCACTTATTCTGCTGATATTTGCGCCAATCTTCACAACTTATGCGCACTCTGGACGAGTCGTCCTTGCTCGTCCATGGCTAATCGGAGTCAAAGGAGTCATCTCTGCGCAGGAAGCCTCTGACTATCTGTATGGACGTCAGATTGGGGATTTTCGTCGCACACTTTATACTCCTTCAGGTTCGCCTTTGGCGAGACCGAGAGAAAGTGACTCCAAGTTCCGTGAAGGCCACGTTTCGCAGTACGATGCGGCCCTCGCAGCCCCGCCGTTTGACCCTATTGAAGGTCACATGTTCACCCTCGTCGACACCATCTCAGGTACGATCTACTATTTCCGTGCGCACAGGCCTCCTACGGTCTGTCTTTTTACTGGATCAGAGGGTGGACAAGGGAGGTTTGTCCTGGCTAGTGAGGAATGCAGCTGTAGCGAGCTGCGACGTGAGACAGGTACTCCGCATGCCGAGTTTCATCTCTGCTTACATGCACACTTCTGATTGGGTTGCTTTGGGTGGTAAGCCTTAAGTTCGGTGCAGGCAGTGACTTGCCTCATTGATACTCTGCTATTTTATCAACACCCTCATTTCTATGGCGCGTTTCTCTTCTCTTTTCCTATTTCCTTTGTATTTGTATTTTCACAATACATGTCAAGAATGCTAATTGGTTCCTCACGGAACGTCCATTCCTTTGTTCCCTTTCTCTCACTTTGGTCCATTGCTTATTGTCTATTTAATATTTACTTGTCCTGTTGTAGGGATAAACTATTGGTTCTTGCTTTTGCGTCAAATGAATGAAGCCGCATAGTACTAGACGCCATCCTTCTCGTGTTTCAGGCTCAGGGGCCAGAATTCCAGACGTGTTTCAAGTAACAGCAAGTATACATGGAATCCAGGTTCGTTCTATAGGCCGCAGGCGTCTATTTCTTTCTCATCTTGCTCGTGTTGATCACCGACCAAAGTTTTCTTCTACTATAGTCAAGCCAGTCGCTGCATCGGTACTAGACTTTGATTGAAAATTGAATCGTCTACTGAGTCCTGTTGAATGTTCCACAATTATCGGGGGTACCAGATGGGACCATGTTCGAGGGTATGTGTTGCAACTTCCATCATATATTGACAATTTGACATACTGATTTACAATATCCATGGTCTCGACTCTGGTGACTCAGGATGATCTGCAGCCAGTCTTGAGCTCCCCCATCAGTGAATTCATGAGTCCGTGATATTGTAACCGTGAGAACTATAGAAGGATATAATTTTGTTCCAGGTAAATATGGCTGAGTCTACTGCGATAGCCATCAATGTCTGCAAATCTAGATTCTCGCGAGGAGTTTGTGATAAGGTTGTGACATTGTAGCGTGATGGCCGACAAGAGATGGTAGCGCAAGTGTGTCCCCCATGTTTGGCATTCTCATTCTCCAATATTTATGTTGTAAATTACATGGCTATTTAAGGCTTTCTCGTGGAAAGCGCTGTTTGCATTGGTCATCAAATCTAGATTAGCACGCGAGTTTGTGACAATGTTGTGACATTGCACCATTGCTGCCTGTAACGGCCCAGACTCCTACCCATCGATGGGTGTGTGAGAGTCTTCATACTGTTACCTTAGCCACAAACCAAATATGTACAACATTATTTCAAACACCGCAACTTTGGACTCTACACACCCAGCTGACTGGCAAAACTTGTAGTGGCACGAGGTTTGGAAGTATTTGTCCCACTGAAAAAGCCTTCCGAGTGTGCTGACATATCCCAAAAGAAATGGGAGCAATTGAATATTAATGTCAAAAATCTTTAGTGTGATGTGCCTTTAGTGACATGATGGATAATCCTCTCTGAGACTTAACATTGTCATGTATCTTGATGTCATCGCCAGGTGGCCAAGTCAAAGTACCGAGCTTTGCAGAAATGAAACTGGGTCTTACTCCTTGTACTTGGCAACTCCAGTCAGCTCACAACCAGCTTGAGAACAAAGATGTCTTCACCATCTCACCCACCAGCTCAGGAAAGACTCTTACCTTCTGGATTCCCCTGTTGTTCAACAATGGTGGAATAACCATTATCATTACCCTGCTTAATATCCTCAGTGAGAAGAACTGAGATGAAGCAAATGCTTATGGGTTTCCCACCCTTGATATATATGCAGAGACAGCAACAGACAAGGCTTTTAAAGTGAGTTGTTATTCAGTAACATTAATACTACATGAGTCTGAGCATGTATTCATCAGGACATAGAGAAATTGAAGTATTGAGTTCTTGCTGTTAGCCCGGAATGTGTACTTCAAGACACTTGATTCAAAAAACTTTGGAAGTCTCGAACATTTACAGATAATCTCTTCAATATCATGTTTGACAAGGGTCATTGTATCAGTGAATGGGGCAAAGATTTTCAACCACTGTATAGTGAGCTGGGGAATCTTCGATGGTACCTTCCAGCTCACATTTGATTTCACACTGTGTCTGCAACCATGCTGCTGCACATCCTCCTAGACATCCAATTGAAACTTCACATTTGGTCATATAACCTTGCTAAAGTTGTGTGGTCAAACGACCATCCAAATATTCATCTCATGGTCCAGGAGATGAAGTACCCATGAAACACTTACTACGACCTTGCCCAAATCTTGTCACTCAAGGAGGGCACACTGCCCAAGAAGTTCATGCTGTTCATAAATTCTTGAGATCAAGCAGAAGCAGTTTGCAATAGCTTATGCAAAGACTTGCCTGTGCATCTTCACCATAACATTGTACAGTTCCATTCAGGCATGTCAATGCAGTTCTGACTGGATGCAATGGAAAAGCTGTCAAAGGGTGAGATTTGGGGGATCTGCTGTACTGATGCAGTGGGAATGGTGAGTTACTCACAGTCATATTGAGGGTCCCTCACATATTGATGTTGTTATTGCAGGGCCTTGATCTTCGAGATGTCAGATTGGTCATTCAATGGGGATATATAAACTCACTTTGCATATTGATGCAACACCTAGGACGTGCTGTGTGAGACCATGCCTTAATGGCACTTGCAGTATACTTCATGGAGCCGCTGTACTTTGATATGTACAGTGGCAAGTGCAAACGGCCTGAACTTGATGAGGGGCAGTATCACACGAAGAAGAAGAAGGTCACAAACATGGATGCTGAGAGCACAGTGGTGTGTGACGAGGAGAACAGTCAATGTAGGACTGATGGTGGTACCCTCAATGGGGGGGACAATGTTGGTGTGTGTCATTGAACATGGCAGATGCTGGAATGAGACGTTTGGAATACAAAGTACTATATATGTTTGATTTCCTGTCATCCCTCTCTTCCCTCAGTCCATTATATCAGACTGAGGGTGAGTTATCCTTTTCTTATCTTGCTGTACTTAGATCACTCACGCTTGTACTTAGGATACTGATATTAGTGTCTAGGTACTGCATAATATCAGTCTGTTATATCAGACTGAGGGATACTGATATTAGTGTCTAGGTCTTTAAAGGTTATGAGCCCTGGCTCATTGTAATCAACAGCCAGAAACCCACAAGACCAATCAGCGTCCAAATGACCTGATATGGTGTGACAATCATACTGGTGCTAGGCATGTATGATCAATAGCATGGTTCTTCTCACCTTCAGAAAAGGAGACAAAGCATGGATCATTAAATCCATATACAGTGGCTCAAAAAACTGTCCACATGTTTTGACATTTTTCACTATCTATGACATTGTGTGAGAATGAACAAATGCCTCAAGGACATGCTTATACCACATTGTAGTATGGCTTCAAGGCTTTCATTTGAGCCCTACACTGTGGGAATCGGTGGAGATATGGTGGAGACATAAGGCTTATAAAATGATGACTCATGTGGACAGTTTTTTGAGTGTATATTAAAACTATATAAATCATTATTTATGACACCACAAAAATCATGCCACTATTATATAAATTATGAAGTGGTGTCATTATGTTATTTTATGACTATATCTAACTATATAAACCAGAATATCTCATGTATCATAGTCATAATCACCATGAAAGCCATCTCCTCTGCTCAAAGAGATAATATCCTCTCTCTGTCTTATGCTGGCCTCTCTGCTTGCCAAATTTCCTCTAGAACTGGAGTATCCAAGTCCACTGTGGCCAATTTTATCAAAGAAAGCCACCCAGACAAGGAAAACTCTTGTGGAGGACATCCATCCAAGCTTACCTCTACTGACAAAAGGGCTATTATCCAACATATCACTACAGGAAAGGCTGATAATGCTGTCCAAGCCACCCATTATATCAATTCCACCATCACTACCCCTGTCTCTTCACAAACTGTGAGGAATGTTCTCAAGGCAGCTCATCTCAAGGCAGTAACAAAGAAGAAAAAGCCTCTTCTCTCCATCAAACATAGGCAGAGAAGACTAGCCTTTGCCTTAGCTCATCAACACTGGACTGTAGAGGACTGGAAGCATGTTATATGGTCAGATGAGACCAAAATCAATAGGATTGGGTCAGATGGGAAGGTATATGTATGGAAAAAGAAGGGAGATGGCCTAACAGACAGAGAGGTTAATGGGACTGTCAAGTTTGGAGGAGGTTCTTTAATGGTATGGGGCTGTATGGGATGGAATGGTGTGGGAATGCTTGCTGAGGTTGAGGGGAAGATGAATGCTGAGCAGTATGTGGACATTTTAAATGACCACTTGCTGCTTAGCTTGGCAGAATCAGGGATTGATGAAGAAGATATCATTTTCTAATAGGATAATGATCCCAAGCACACATCCAGAAGAGCTAAGGAATGGTTTGAAGAACATAAAATCAATGTTCTTGACTGGCCAGCACAGTCTCCTGATGTCAATGTCATTGAACATCTCTGGGGAACACTCAAGAAAAAGCTTCAAGCCTATGAAAACCCCCCTAAAGGAGTATGGGAGCTTTGGGAGAGAGTAGCAGTGGAATGGGGGAAGATCACAGCTGAGGATTGCCAGAAATTAATTGAGAGTATGCCTATAAGGATAGAGGCAGTAATTAAAGCCAAGGGAGGTCATACAAAATACTGGAATACCTGGTTATTATTGTAAAATACTTGAGTCAAAAAACTGTCCGCATGAGTCACCATTTTGTGAGCCTTGTATCTCCACCATATCTCCACTGATTCCCACGGTGTAGGGCTCAAATGAAAGCCCTGAAGCCATACTACAATGTGGTATAAGCATGTCCTTGAGGCATCTGTGAGTTCTCACACAATATCATAGATAGTGAAAAATGTCAAAACATGTGGACAGTTTTTTGAGCTACTATATATGAAAGGGTTGCAATTGAAGCAAAGAGCACTTTCAATCTGTTCAAATTAGTACTGACAAACAACAAGGCAGTCAATACATACTAAAGATATCAATAAGTTCAATTTTGCTCAGCAAAACATGTTGAGTATCATTGGATGGTGAAGGTGCAGGTATTCCATTGCAGTTGGGCATGCCATCCTCTGAGCCGTGGTGGTGGTAGTCTAAATAGGCCTCTACCAGGCAGTCCATTTGGATATTCCAGTGATTTGTTTCATTTTCAATGCAATCAGTATGAGTGTGTGGGTCTACATAGCAGCTCCAAATCCACATATGATTGAGATAGTGCAGGTAGTGAAAAAATCAACACTTACTATCCATTGATCCCAGCAATTTCACGGGCGAGTCCCTTGAATGCCTCAAACTCACCTCCAGCATGGCTCATGTCTAAACCTTCTTCGCCTGGAGGGGCAGAGTATGGTTGTAGCTCAACATCCATACCATAATCAATGATCATGTTCTCGACCATCTCGTGGTCCTCAGATGACATCTCTATGGGAAAACAATGGTATGGTGGTGATAGAGAGCAAGGAAAATACTACATACCTTGAACTAGAGCCCAACAACTCACTGCAGCTGCCTTGACATGCTGGGTTTGCTTGCTAGCTGTCAACATGTGTGACTGACGATGCTGCCCTCTGAAGCTGTGTGAAATGATAGACTTAAAAAGGCCTTTCAGCCTGGAAGATCCCATCCCATGTGGCATGTCAGATAGCATGATCTGAGGGTAGCAGGAATGAGGAGGATGGCGGTGAAGGTTCGACTACTCTGCTGGCTTGCAGAGCAAAAGAAAGAAAGAGGGCTCTACCTCTGGGGTGAGAGGAAGGCCTACTGACTCTCTAAGTGTTGGTCGAAGTGCGCCAGGCAATATGTTTGACCCTTAAGGGAAGCAAGGAAAGCAAATCCACAGAGTGACACCAGGTCAACTCTGGTGAAGCACGTGTGCAGGAATGTCAAGTGCATAGGTGTGCAAAGCGTGGGAATAGGGTGCACACAGTGCACGAACATGTAAGAGATGATGGCATGCTGGCTGAAGATGATAGATTCTCACTATGAGATACTAAGTGACATGATGGTAGTTCATGTATTCTGTGGTGGTGGCAGGTATCTGAAAACTTCCCAGGCAGCAGTTAAGCTGTGCCTAGGCGCACTCCCAGGGCTCAGAAGTGAATAGGGAGCGCGCTAAGTATGTAAATGATGTAAGTAAAAGGGTCCATGACGAAATAATGTATGGTACAATGCTAAATATGAGAATAAATGAAAAGGGACTCACTAGGGGACTGGTTGGATGATGGATGGATGCTCCAGGACACTGTGCGACAAAGGGCGATTGAGCACAGGAAGAGCGCACTAAGCGCATGTGCAGGAAAGCGTCGCGCCTCTGGCATGTTTTGCAGGAAAGTCATGGAGGGTGAGTCGTACACTGTACCAATTGTTGTGAGTCGTAATATGGGCAATATACAGTGGCTCAAAAAACTGTCCGCATGTTTTGATATTTTTCACTATCTATGATATTGTGTGAGAATGAACAAATGCCTCAAGGACATGCTTATACCACATTGTAGTATGGCTTCAGGGCTTTCATTTGAGCGCTACACCGTGGGAATCGGTGGAGATATGGTGGAGACATAAGGCTTACAAAATCATGACTCATGCGGACAGTTTTTTGAGCACATATTAAAACTATATAAATCATTATTTATGACACCACAAAAATCATGCCACTATTATATAAATTATGAAGTGGTGTCAGTATGTTATTTTATGACTATATCTAACTATATAAACCAGAATATCTCATGTATCATAGTCATAATCACCATGAAAGCCACCCCCCCTGCTCAAAGGGATAATATCCTCTCTCTTTCCTATTCTGGCCTCTCTGCTTGTCAAATTTCCTCTAGAACTGGAGTATCCAAGTCCACTGTGGCCAAGTTCATCAAAGAAAGTCACACAGACAAGGAAAACTTCTGTGAAGGGTGTCCATCCAAGCTCACCTCTACTGATAGGAGGGCTATTATTCAACATATCACTACAGGAAAGGCTGATAATGCTGTCCAGGTCACCTATTACATCAATTCCACCATCACATTCCCTGTCTCTTCACACACTGTGAGAAACATTCTCAAGACAGCTCATCTCAGGTCAGTAACAAGGAAGAAAAGGCTCTCCTCTTTATCACACATATGCAGAGAGGACTAGCACCCTTCTTGTTTCACATATATACCTTGCCATCTGACCCAATCCTATTTATTGTGGTCTTATATGATCATATAACATGCTTCCAGTCCATGTAATCCAATTCTGATGGGCTAAGGCAAAGGTTAGTCATCTCTGTTTATGTGTGATAGAGAGGAGAGCCTTTTCTTCCTTGTTACTGACCTGAGATGAGCTGTCTTGAGAATGTTTCTCACAGTGTGTGAAGAGACAGGGAATGTGATGGTGGAATTGATGTAATAGGTGACCTGGACAGCATTATCAGCCTTTCCTGTAGTGATATGTTGAATAATAGCCCTCCTATCAGTAGAGGTGAGCTTGGATGGACACCCTTCACAGAAGTTTTCCTTGTCTGTGTGACTTTCTTTGATGAACTTGGCCACAGTGGACTTGGATACTCCAGTTCTAGAGGAAATTTGACAAGCAGAGAGGCCAGAATAGGAAAGAGAGAGGATATTATCCCTTTGAGCAGGGGGGGTGGCTTTCATGGTGATTATGACTATGATACATGAGATATTCTGGTTTATATAGTTAGATATAGTCATAAAATAACATACTGACACCACTTCATAATTTATATAATAGTGGCATGATTTTTGTGGTGTCATAAATAATGATTTATATAGTTTTAATATACACTCAAAAAACTGTCCACATGAGTCATCATTTTTTCAGCCTTATGTCTCCACCATATCTCCACCGATTCCCACGGTGTAGCGCTCAAATGAAAGCCCTGAAGCCATACTACAATGTGGTATAAGCATGTCCTTGAGGCATTTGTTCATTCTCACACAATATCATAGATAGTGAAAAATGTCAAAACATGCGGATAGTTTTTTGAGCCACTGTACGCCTGGAGGAATTTCATTCCCTACAGCGGGTGGGTGGGCAAGATCTAGGAGGATAGTGGGAGCACAAGCACCTTGCTTGATGGGATAGGATGGTGCCACAGTGCCTAGGACACCAGCCAGCAACTTGGATTGTTGGTGATCATTGGCTATACTGCCCAGTGATGTCAATGGTGTAGAGTAAGAGCAGAAGGGGCATGGGAAGCCGCCGTTGTTCAAGATTCAGATAAGGCAGGGAGGCTACAGGAAGTGCTGTGTACTTGGGGAGGGTAGGGAACAATACTTACCCTTTTGAGCAGGTAGGTAGTAGGAGCTGCAAGGTAAAAAGGTATTTGGAGTGATATTTAATGCTGGTGTTGGAGGTTTACTGTAACCAAGCCTAATTAAACTTGGTGACACACATAATCACCAAGTTTAATAAGGCTTACTCATTGGGAAGGCCAGGTGTAAGGGCCAGTAGCATCAAATGTGTATGTTTTCTGACTGTTCTCATTTTTCTTTCCTTATGTTGTAAATTACATGGCTATTTAAGGCTTTCTCATGGAAAGCGCTGTTTGCATTGGTCATCAAATCTAGATTAGCACATGAGTTTGTGACAATGTTGTGACATTGCACCATTGCTGCCTGTAAGGGCCAGTAGCATCAAATGTGTATGTTTTCTGAGTGTTCTCATTTTTCTTTCCTTATGTCTCAACTATAAGGTTATTTATGACTTTTCAATAGAATATGCCTTTCATACAGATCAACCAGGTGTTGGTGTTGGTGACTAAACACATTCCTCCAATAGTTTTGGAGGTGGCACATTCAACATCACCATGATACTACAAAGCAAGTCTTGTACATATTGAATTAGCACAGCTTGACTCTGCAGCAAGGAGATAAAATTTAAAGCTATGTATAGTACATGAACTCTCTTGTACATCAGAATGGAATGAGCTTCTTGTGTGCAGCAGTTGAGATGTCCGCACATTGTGCATTTTATGCTATTTCACTGCATTTTGAAGGCCTACCTGCCTTGTTTCAAGTGACTAGTACTAGTAGTGCTGGATACTGGGCTAGGACATGGGCTGTTGTGACCAGCATGGGGCCGCTGCCGCATCATGTGAACCAGTTGAACTGTTTTGCAGAGTCACCCAAAAGACATTGCACAGTAAATCGAACTTGTCCCTGAACATCATTTTTGTGTGCAATGTCTCTGCCATCTGACATTGCCAGTTACAGATCTGTCATTTAGCCTGATGAAACACAGCCATCGCTGCCTCCCATGGCACAGTTGAAGACAATCATGATGATTTTCAGGATTAGCAAGGTTTGCAGTGACTCAGACATCATGATGGTGGCGAAAATACCAGTGAAGTGACAAATGCTAACATCTCATCTTCCTTTGTTAACGCCTTGGACTATAAGACTATCTGAGACTTTCTCTCAGAAAGTACCATTAGCATTGGCCACCCAATGAAGAATAGTGTGAGATCATGATAGATTTGAATATTGTTGCATGTTCTCATTGTTCCTTTACATTTTGAATTTAAATTTTTGCAGGTGCTGGTTGGCAAAGTTGACACAGAATTGATTAATAAAGTTGGGGTGACCGGTCATGTTCTGTGGCCCAGGGAGATAAAAAAAGACTGACAAAAGTGTCATTGTTTATGATTGGGCTGAGGCAAGAATGCAACAACAGTCATTGTATGTAATGTAGAGGGGACAGGGGGTGTAGGTCAGCTCACTTTCAGGTAGTCTGGGAAAGGATAAGACTTCAGGAAAGTGATGGGTACTGCAGCAGTTGTTATAGTTGGAGTGCGTGTGTTCCACAGCACAATGACACTAGCTGAATTCTGGAACTCAAAGCTTGTCAAAAAATGAGCAAAGACTAACTATGCCAGTCTAGAGAACATGCACCTTGGCATGGGGATAAGTATATACTCAATATTCTCCTACTCCTGCATGAACAAATTGTGATTCACCTTAATGATGACGACACCAACTGCAGCTGCAGCTTGTCCAGCATCACCGCAATAATCATCATAGAAAGTTGCATAGACTCCAACCAGCTAATCCTTGCCACATCATGCACACTATGGGAATCTATCATAGTGGTCTGCGTAAACTCATCATAGCAGCCGAAGTGAGGCTTGATCCACATAACAACAACCTCAGTGAGCAATGACCATGAGTGGGGGTTGTCAAACAAGAAACCCTTAAAGATCTGGATGTACATGATCAACCGCTGTATGATAATTTTGCCCTTACCAGTCGAGATGGCATTGAAAAAATTCATAGCGACCATCACAAGCTTGATGGTGGGAATGATCTTGGCAAATCTTGGCAAGCTCTGGAAGGATGGTACCAGTCAGATTCTGGAGTAGACTGTCCATTGAGCAAATCATGTGCA